GGGTTTTGGCTGGGTCTTGTTCGATTTTTCAAAAGTTATTTTGCCTTCACAATCTTCAGTTATCTGCTGTGTGAATTTGCAGCATGACTCTACGTTTTATAAAAGGGAGATAATTCAGTATGTGCAAAGTGCTTTATGGTCAAGTTAAGGGTATAACTAACTGAAGTCTCAGAATGGGCACTTTGCCCTGTTTCTAAAACTTCAAGGGCAACCTGCCTATCGAAAAGCTACAAGGGCAGTCCAATACCTGTCTTCAAAGCTCTGTCCCAGTGGGAGATGGCTAGCAGCTTTGGAATGAGGTAGAACAAGCTGCAATGTCCTTGCTCCTCTCATAGTGGTGTCAGAGAAAAGACTCAGCTTCAGGGGCAGTGGGCTGTCTAAGCAGAGGTATTACACGCACCCTGAGACCTACCTCTGCTGCCTCCACCTTCCCCACATTATCTAAACTCTTGTCTGTCTCTATTACTCTCTTATCTTGATCTCAGCTCTGTGTTGGATCCTGGCCTGTGGTCCAAATTTGAAAAAAAAACAAAAACAAAAAACACCTTCCCTATAGATCTGCCCTCCTTCCTCTCATCCTCCCAGCCCACCACTGATGGCTTGCTTGTGAACAGGGGACATTCCCCCTACCCTAACCTGGACCCTGGAGGCTATGGGACCCTCCAGCCTGAACCTGTCCTTGATGAGGAAAGAGTGCCCTCTAGTGGAATCCCGCTGGAGCCGCTTCAGACCCTTGTAGCTCAACCAAGGACCAAAATAAAAAACAACCTTCTGAGGGCTCTCCAGCCAATGTTCTTGAGCTCTTGAGTGTGCCTTTGGGTTAGGTTTGTTTTTCTCCTTTTCTGAAGAAAAACTAAAGAAAGATCAGCAGGAGAGCAGTTGTAAGAGCAACTCCAACCGTGATGTGACAGTCCCTTATCTTGAGAGTTTACCAAAGGATTAACCCCAGGGCATGCTATGGCAGCAGGTGGATATGGCCTCAGAGTTGGTGACAATTTCTCTATAAATCACTGACCTGTCTTCATGAAGGGGTAGACTTAGGAAAAGAAAACACCTTACTTTTCTCTTAAAGAACTATTCCTGTATGGATTAAATTATCTTCATGCTGTACACAGGCCTGCCAGACTGTTACTACCTTCTTCTATTAGTGGCAGATACAAGGGTTTTGGCCCTTTAAAATCTGTTTCTGGAAAAGCTGTTGATCTGAGGAGGCTACAGAAAGGGGAGGGGAACCCAGGATGCCCATCAGGGAGGTGGGAACTTGATCATTTGTGATGGCTCTGGATTAGGTAACAGCTCCGCTGGTTGAAATTGGATCTTGGAGGATGAGTGTTAACATCTCTGGTGTCCTGGCAAAAGGTTCATTTGAGTCTTGAATGGTGCTGCAGAGATAAAAAGGAGCTTTTAAATAATCATTTTGTCTCCTACTCACCAGAGTGCTGGATTCAAACAATAAATAGGGTATCATCAGTTCTGCTTAGATATATCACCGTTTTCATTTATTTATCTAATGTTAGTGGGAGTTGAAAAAAAATCCCATGGACTAAATAAGCAGTTTCTGTGTCAGTGAATCCTAGCACGTTCTTATCATGCCATGTTTAAATTCTCTTTGTTCTAGATAGAAAGATAAGCATATTGTATGTGTGTGTGTATTTGTGTATGCACGTGCGTGAGTGCACACATGCATGCGTGCACCAGTACTGAGGTTTGTACTCCAATTCTACTAAATCTTAGAAAATCCAAACCTCTTTTTAAAAGTATTTATTTAAAAGACTTACAAAATGATTAAAAAAAAAAAACACTTTTGTTTGCTCTTTGCCACCCTTTTATTCTTTGAACAAAAGAATCAAGGTATGCCATCTTAGTGCTGTAAACTCTGAGGTTTTTCTGAAACTTCCCAGCAGGAAGGTCCTTGCTCTAGATTCTGTTGTCCCCTGCCAGTCCTATGGTTTCCTTTCTTGTTTTATTTTACAAATTTTAAGGTCAAGAAAAGTATTAATTGGGTAGATGAGAGAGTTTGTGCAGATAATGTGCCTTTTCTCCATGATTGTGTATACAGAGTGGCATACAGGCATGGGTGAACACAGCATGGGGGGGGGGGGGGGACACACACCCAGTAGACAACAGGCACTTGGAAAATGGTAGTGTTCAGTCACTTGCCTATTACCTTAGAGGAAGCAGGGCCAGAAATCTGTTCTATGGGCACCATCTCTCTGCCTTTTAACCTTCTCTCATACCTGGGAAAGGGAAAGGAGGGAAAAAGAACTTTTGCCTAAGCAAATGAGCAGGCTAAAATGAAACAATCAGTAGTTTATTGTTTTTTTTTTTTAAACTTTGTGATTGGTTCCATGAATATCTTTATTGATAAGGCAATTAAAATTCACCAAGTAAAGGAAAACATCCATTTTCTCCACATACACATAGACACACACACACACACACACACACACACACACACACACACACACACACACACACACACACACACACACACACACACACACACACACACACACACACACACACACACACACCCGCCTTAGTTAGCTGGACCAAGGAGAGGCTGCTGGGTTCTTATACCAAATGTAAGAAAGTCAGATTCTCCTCAGTGCCTTTATGGCCTGGGAACAAGCAATGGTTCTCATGTTCAGTTAGCTCTGCATTTGCCAGTGATGATGTGTTCTTCAAAAGGTTTTGGAGATAGAAATCAAAGCATTCAAGAAACAGGAGTGAATGGCTTAATTTTCAAAGATCAGCCAACAGGGCAGTTTCCTATCATTTCATGAGCCTAAATGAAGGAAGATTTCATTGGAAAAAGAAATCCACAATAGAATCTCTACAGTTATCTTTCTGTCTCACCACTGTGGCAGGGTTTTTGGGGGGGAGGGGGTTGTTTGTGTGTTTGTTGATTTTACATGTAGAACATCACCTATTCCTGTGTGAGAGACAGAAAGAGACCCAAACTAGGACCTAGAGTGTCGGCTGTATGGGGCTGTCGATTGCTTTTCTCCACTTCTTTTTTTCTCTTCCATACTTCTTTCTTGCTTCATCAAGAAGCACAAATCAATACCCTGTGCCTTTTATCTTTGGGGCTCTTCAGTGCCACCATCAGTTCACATGACACAACCTTCCACTTGACTGTCCCATGCTGCCTGAGAGTCATGCCCTGGCTTTTCTTCCAGAACAAGAGTTGTATTTCCTTCAGAGCAACTTCCAAGGTCGGTGCCTGTCATGCAAGCTGGAAGCCAGGAGCGTGCAGGCACAGTCAGCAGTGCTTGCTGCTTTATCCGTGACGCAGTGCCCTGAACATCGACCTGTCCCATTTGTATAGAGTTTGTATCACCGTCCTTTGTCACAGCTCGGGGGACAGCTGGCCCAGTCCTTGTCCCCTGAGGGCTCATCAGATGTACCTGCCCTGAAACAGACTGGTTGCTCTGGTGCTATCCCTCCACCAGGAGAAATAGACCCTGCCAACTCTCCCCTGAAATGGGAACAAACAATGCTCTGTTCCTCTGCCGACAAATTCTTCCTCTACCTTCTTACCCTATCCAAAATTCTCTTTAATTTTTGTCTTTAATTGTTTCCTCTCAACAAAGTCTTGGCTGCTCACAAATCAACTGAATTTAGACAAGTGACTGATTTTATAGCTGATTGTGTGCAAGTAGAAATACGGTCTAGTTCTTCTGTTGGTTTGCTAAGTCACTTGATCCTTCTGAGTCCATTACCCAGAACCACGAAGGTGATTATCAACTCTCAGGGCCAGAAACAGTGGCTCACACTTGTAATCCCCTCTATTTAGGAGATGGAGATCTGGAGGGTCATGGTTTGAGGTCAACCCAGGCAAATGGTTATCAAAACTCTATGTTAATCAACAAGCCCAATATGATGGTGTATGTTCATAAAGTGGCTACCTTTTTTTTGGGGGGGGTGGAGGGTCCGGTCGTGGGGCCTGAACTCTGGGGCCTGGGCACTGTCCTTCAGCTCTTCAGCTTAAGCCTAGCGCTCTACCACTTAAGCCACAGTGCCACTTCCGGCTTTTTTCTTTTTTGTTTATGTAGTGCTGAGGAATCGAACCCAGGGCCTCATGCATGCAAGGCAAGTGCTCTACCACTGAGCCACCTTCCCAGCCCCAAGTGGCTACCTTTTGATCTAAAACTCCATTCTACCAGAATATGAGCTGGCTTTTTTGAATTCCTTGGAACATTATGTTAAAAGCACCTTACCCCTGGTCCCAACAAGACAGAGCCTTTGTCACCTGGAACAGTTGGCTCTCCATTATTAGAGCTTGATGTCCCTTCTCCAGGACCAATTTGTTTTCCTGCTGTTCCACACTTCTGCACTGCCAGCTAGTCTGAAGAAAGAGCTGAAGCTTTCATTCCATTAACTGGATTTACTGAGCTTAAATTATTTTGTGAATAAAAATTTTAGATTAATCAACGACTAAAAAGAAAGTCAATGAGCATAAAACCACCAGCTCACAGAGATCTAAAATAAGAAATGAAGAAGGAAATGCCTTTCCTTGAATTGAAATTTGGCAGTTTGAAGACGAGAGTAAAAAGTCACATTCTGTGATACCTGCTTTTTGGTGTAACTTTTTTATTGCTATAAAACATACAAATATAAAAGTTCGCACTATTTCTTTTAAGCTGGTAGCAATGGCATTAACTACCATCACATGATTATATACTTGTCACTATCTTCCATTTCCAGAACGTTCTCCTTCCCCAAAGGAAACCATCCCCACAAAAGACTTAACCCCTCATGGCCCCTTCCCAGCCCCTGGAATCCACCCTTCTGCTATTCTAGGCACCTGGAGCCAGTGGCGTGTAGTTTGTCCTGGGAGCAAAGTCCTGGAGCAGGCCTCCAGGTTGAAGGCATCTCCTCGCCTCTGGGCTCCTCTTCCCCAGCCCAGTTGGTTAGCCATGAGACACGTGCTTTTTGAACTGTTTTGGCCGTGGGTGACTCCTAACGCTTCCCTTTCTCTTTGTCTTTCCCTCTAGTGTTGAGTATCCGGGGAGCCCAGGAAGAGGAGCCCACAGACCCCCAGTTGATGCGGCTGGACAACATGTTGTTAGCCGAGGGGGTGGCCGGACCCGAGAAGGGTGGAGGCTCGGCGGCAGCGGCGGCCGCAGCGGCCGCGTCCGGGGGGGCAGGCTCAGACAACTCGGTGGAGCATTCTGACTACAGAGCCAAACTCTCACAGATCAGACAAATCTACCACACGGAGCTGGAGAAGTATGAGCAGGTAACCACAGCTGGGGCTCGTGGGCCCTGTGGAAAGGGAGGAACAAACCGAAAACCCGGGTTTACACACACTCCTCAGGCCAGCCTTTCCCCACAGGTGGGTGTTTCTTGTGTCCAGCACATGCTGCTGAACTGCTGAGCCCCGGACCAAACTGGAGTCTACAGAGTCCTTGGTCTTGAGCCTTGCAAAGCCAGGCATTCCATGGAGATAAAGGCATTGACCGTGTGGCATGAGAGGCTTTAAGATAGGTCGTAGAATTTCCACTTAGTAGTTCTGGTTGTCAATTCCACTACTTGGAATTCCGAAACTTAAGCCAAGAATGTACTGCATAGGGTTTTCTCAGGGTGCGTAGATCTTTGCAGCTTTCCTCATTTGTCCCTTATTTGGGATCATAGAAGGTTCTTGGACCTTCTGGATCCCTATAGAATATTATAGAAAAGAATATGAAAACGTGGCCTCAAAGCCCCTCACACTACGCAAACTCAGCTCAATGGAAAACCAGTTGTGTCTCCTCCGTTTTTAATGATGATACATACATCCCCAGCAGAAAGACCCAAGCTTCCCAAAAGACTGTCAAAGTCAGACCAACCCAGATTCCAATCCTGTAGTTCCATTGATAGGCCACAGGACTATGTTCTGCAGACTGCCCTGAAAGCAGAAGGCACATGACAAAGAGCTATGGGTTTGACCATTAAAATCCTATGTTTTCCTTGTGGTGCCAGGGATTAAACCCAAGGCCTTAAGCACGCCAGGCAAGAGTGTTACCACTGAGCTGCCTGTCAAGTCCATAAAAATCATATGATAGAAACAATAAGAAAGGCTTTAATTCCTAATCAACACATAGACATAAGGCGTTTTAATAATAATACAGCTTTTCTCTATTGGAGACATCCCCCTTCGCTTATTTATCCAGCAATTCTATTGCTATGGTCACTGAGAAATACAACTTTATTAGGAGTCCTTTAGCATCAGATGTCCTCAGACAGAGTTTGATTCTAGAAGAATACAGAATTCAGTGTTCGTTCTTTTAACCCAAGGGTTCTTTTTTTAATATATATTTTTTATTGTAAAGATACTGTACAGAGGAGTTACAGTTACATGAGTAAGGTAATGAGTACATTTCCTATCGAGCATTGTTAACCCCTCCTTTGTTTTTCTCCTACTATCCCTTACCTCCCCACCTCCCCAATTCCTCCTCCCAACCCCCCCCCCCCCAAAGTTGTAAAGTTCATTTTCAACATAGTGTCTTGTACATCTCGTTTCAGCATTTTGTTATTTCCCTTCCCCTCCCCATGTAAGAAAAATGTATATACAAGATGCAGGGCACCAGAATCAAATACAGTGACATCAGGGGTTGTACCATGGGGGAAGAACATACAAAAGAAACAAAAAACATCACATAGTACAATATAAGTACATTAAAAACTATGACATAGCAATCCCACTTTTGGACATTTACCCAAACAATCACAAACAAGGCCATACTAAAGCTACCAGCACAACTATGTTTATCACAGCATTATTTACCATAGCTTAGATATGGAACCAACCCAGATGCCTCTTGGTAGATGAATGGGTCAAGAAAATGTGATACACACACACACACACACACACACACACACACACACACAATGGAATTCTATGCCTCCATCAGAAAGAATGACACCCAGGGCTGGGAAGTTGGCTCAGTGGTAGAGCGCTTGCCTTGCATGCCTGAGGCCCTGGGTTCGATTCCTCAGCACCACATAAGCAAAAAGAAAAAAAGCCAGAAGTGGCGCTGTGGCTCAAGTGGTAGAGCGCTAGCCTTGAGCTGAAGAGCTGAGGGACAGTGCCCAAGCCCAGAGTTCAGGCCCCACGACCGGACCAAAAAAAAAAAAAAGAAAAAAGAAAAAAAAGAAAAAGAATGACACCCAGAATGACTTGGAAAAATTATATTAAGTGACACAAACCAGACCCATGGTTTCCTTCATTTACAATAACTAAGTATACATCTAGGACAATATTACCAGAAAAGCAGAAAAGATCAAAAGCTATGTACATGAAAGCATATAAGATGATGCTAAGCAAAACGAACGCCAAGATAGGGACACAAGAGGTTTTATTTTTGTTGCTGTTGTTTTAGACATACTTATAGCCCAAGGGTTCTTATTAGAACAATGGCTGGCCAACCATCTTAGTAATAATGGAGTGATGACTCCTGTACGTACTGGAGCAATTAGCTCATCCTGTTTCCTCCCTGGGCTAGATTCCTATGCCCAAGGCAGGCTACTGAGAGAAATGTTCTCTTCTGGAACTTCTCTGGGATACCCACCTATTCTAATTAATAAAGATGGTAGAAATTAGGAAGTTAAGCAGAAACCCCATCCATATAAACCAAATGGTAGAAGTGTGGGTAATGGTGGTGGCCATCTATATTTATTAAACTTAGAAAGTACAAAAATATCATCTCCTGATTTATATGGGCAGTTTCTAGTGATAAAGTGAATAGTGGATAACACATCCTGGATGGTAAATAATTTATTAAAATTAGTTGTGTCGTTAATGGTAATAAATAGCAGAATGTAGGGAGATGGTGCCATTAACCTTTTAGCTAGTGTCTGAGAAATACATCTTCTTTGTTTTTCTCTAACATTTCCTCACTGGTATGTGGGGGAGGGGGAGGGGAGGGGTTGCTTCTTTACCAAATAGGAAATCTCAGTTAAGTAAATGTCACATGTACCTACATGAAATCACCAAGTGAATTGTTAACCAGTTGATTCTGTTGTTCTTGTTTTATTTTTTAGTATGATGGCAACAGATAGCTACTCAATAATTAGCCATCATAGCTCCACTCACCCCTAGTCCTCTTCCCCTCCCCCCCTGCAAAAAAAACCCTTTCAGAATTAGGCAGTGTTTCATCCTGAGGTTATTAAATGAAGAAGCTTCTACAGACTTTTATTAGAAAAGAAGGAAGAAAATTGTCTTATTCATTAAGTGGGATTGGTAAAACACTTTTTCAGCACATCAAGTTGATAGCTAAGATATTTAAGAGCGAGCATATGCTAGTAGATAAAACCATGGTGTCAGGACCTGGAGTTCTATTCTAAGTGCTGTTTATAAAAATGATCCTCTTGTCATGTGGCAGGGTTCTCCAGACTGTGTAAGTCATGTCCTTGGAGTATTGACAAGGCTAAAGCACTCGTGCTGAACTGTTCATTCAGTTCAGCTAAGAGAGCTCTGAGATCACACTTACTACCGTGCTTGAGATGGGTACAAGATCTACTTGGACAGAGCCAAAGGTGAATACAGGTTGTCTAGCCTATGTAAGCATACCTAAACTTTAGACTCTTACAATATTGTCTACGAGGGCTTCTCCTTTACTTGCTGTTCCCCAAAATACATTGGGTCAGGACATGAGATGTTTCCTTTAAGATACCTCTCTGCCCAGCCAGACATAGTAGTTCTTGTGAATAATCCTGGCAGCTTCGTAGGTAGAGATTGGTATGTGCCTCTTATCCTAGCTAAATAGGAAGCACTAGTGTGAGGATCCTGGCAAGACCTGGCATAAATGCAAGACCTTATTTTTTTAAAAAAAGAAAGAACCAAAGCTTAAAGGACTGAGCATAGCTAAGTTGTAGAGCATCTACCTCACAAATGGAAGGCCCTGAATTCAAACTCCAGCCCCACAAAGAAAGAGAAGAGGAAAGGAAAGAAAAGAAGAAGGAAGGAAAAGACGGAGAAGGAAATGTCCCTGCTTCATGGGGGCATCTTGGCTTTGCAACATGGCTCTCAGAAATCTTCATCCCATGAGGATTCTAATACTTAAATCTGCCACACTTGGAACCCTTGGCCTCACAGAATCAACCCAGCTTCTGCTGGTGCCAAAGTTGGGAAGCTGAGGATGAGTTGTGGATAGTTCAGGTACTGGAAATCTGAATGGTTGTATCCTGTCCATCTAAAATGGACCTGGAGCCCTGGCTGTCTGCCCTGTGTTCCCGAGCAGCTGTTCGGCAGCTGCTTTGTTACACCTCAGCAGTGGGGGAAAGGGCTCCACTGTCTGTTTATTGCAGAGCAGAAAGAGCCTGGGATAGAATGTCCTGACTACACATCAGATACTGGAGGGATTTTATTCACCATAATGAAGCACATTATTATTAGCTGAGCACTGTGGCTTTCCAGCTGAGAGCTGGAGTGCCTGGCAAGGCGGCATCTCCTCCCCTTCAGCTCCTCTTCCTTCTGAGTTCTGCTGAGGTGGGGAGCATTTTCCCCTAAAATATAGCTGGGATATTTGCATTGTGCTCAACTTCCACTCTCTATATCCTTAAAACTTCAGCTCTAAGTCACTACTGGGTTGTCTTTGTCCTACAGCACTCGAGGCTGGGGTAGATAGGGAGTAGGCTTACCATACAGATAGCGTGTTTGTAGAGCACTTTTCTAAGTGGAGAGCAAAACACTACATGGACTTAGTGTGTGGATTTGTCTTCAGCATGCACCTGCAGAATGAAAAGGAAGTATTTATTTTTTATTGTTTTTGTATAGTTGATATACAGATGGCTTAAAGTACTATTTATTTATTTATTTATGTATTTATTTTTAACAAGAGGATCATGGAAGCCAGGATAATATGTGAATTTCTCAGTTATCTGTATTTCAAAGGTATAATAGCACCGTGGATGTGTAGGGCCAGGCACACATGTCTCGCATGAAGTAACTTACTGACTCTCTATTCCCTACAAGCTGGGGTTCACATCCCCATGGACCAAGACCAGGCAGCCTGTTTTCTATCCATGTCAATGGCCCATTCCATGCACATGTCATTGTATATACATAAGAGTAAAAGTATTGTCTCATGTGTAGAGGGGTTGGGATGACCAACTTCCACTCTCAGGTGGATCAATATGATACTGGACAGTGAAAGGATTTGCCCAAATAGCTGAAGAGGCAGGGTTCAAATAAACCCAGTGCAGTAGACACTTCTGAGCATGTACTTTTGTTCAATCCACCAGCCAACCAAAAGTTCTTAAGGAAGTACTTGGTGAGCTCACCCTAGTGCTGTTACTTCTGTATTGTTAGCACATAGGAAAGTCTACAAAAGAAAACAATAGTAATACAGTGTCTTCAGCCACAAGTGTTATTTCTGCTGTTACTGTGTGGTCAGAGCCTGTGAGTCCTTAGTTATTCAGTTCCTAAAGCCTCATCTGGTCTTTTCCATTACAAAGCTAATACAGTCTTAGGCCGTTGCTGTGGATTAAGCAATGAATATATGTTTTATTGAATGTCTGCTAAAAATAAGCATAGATGCTAAAAAGAAGCCCAGTGGTTTTCAGAGAAGTGGGTTCAGATGGGAGCCCATGGCCTGGTAGATGCTGCATTCAGATGCTGCTTCTGCCTCTTTCTTGCACACTGTGTACCCAGGGAAATGGCTCTTCTCCTTTTTGAACCACAGGTTTCCCAACTATAAAGCAAGGGAATGGCGAAATTTGATTTCTAACTTGACTTGCAAAGCTGATGGCATATTGATCTATAACCTGGGAGTTTTGTTTCTACAAAGATACTTTCTGAATTGTCTAAGTTATGTTCTGATGCTATTTAAGATACCCAGGGAAAGATGCCTTCTATACTGTACTGAGTACAGTACTGAGTCTTTAGAAGGCCAGCACAAGAGGACTTTTGAAATAAAACTAGAAATAGAAGAGTGGTAAGAAATCTCATGGAAGAATTCTCAAGCTTTCAGTTCCGTGATTCCTCTCGAATTGTTCAGCTGTTTCTATATCCCAAAACTGAGTATTTGGAGGTTCTACCTGTTCTAAGAAAATGAGTAAGGCAGAAAGCTTGTGGTGTTGTTTGACTCCCAACTGTGGCTGTTTAACATCTTGGCAAAGGGTGGTGAATTCTGTTGCTTTGCACTCAAATCTGAGATTTTGCCTTTCCCTAGAGTAAAATCATGAGGGGGAAAATATTAAAAAAATAAAACTAGTAAGAATTTTCTTTCTTTTAACAAAATTGAAATTGTGGCCCAAACTTAGGAGCCACTAGTGATAAAAAGAATTTCTAGTCAGCCCTCACATACATATAGGTACTGGGGGGTTGAACTCAGGCCTCTCATTCCTTTTTTAAATTTTGTATTTTATTGTAAAGATGCTGTACAGAGGGGTTACTTTTACATGAGTAAAGTAATGAGTACTTTTCCTATGGAGCATTCTTACCCCCCTCCTTTGTTTTCCCCCTACTATCCCTTCCCTCCCACCTCCCAAACTCCTCCCCCAAAGTTGTAAAGTTCATTTTCAACATTCTTGATCAACATTCTTGTTCATGACTGGTGCTATGCCATTTGGACCACACTCCCAACTAGAATTTTGCTGCTTAATTAGAGGTATAACCTTTGAATACTTTTCTGTCCAGATTGGCTTCAAACTATGATCCTCCAGATCTCATCTCAACCTCCTGAGTAGTGAGGATGACCGCGTGTGTCCCATAAAATGCCAGCACCCAGCTGATAGTAATTTATTCTATCCATCTGACCTGACAAAGTGTAACAAATGTAGAAGTACAAAGATGAATAAGATATTCTCCTGAGCACAAAGTGACACGAAGGTACTCCGATGGAACCATCTGGTTTCAAGTTTATCTCTCTGGCGTTATTGTTCACGATCTTACTTGTGAATTTAAAATACTCAATTGAGGAAAACATAGCTAGAGAGATTCTTTTTAAACAAAAAAAGGAAAAAAATGCCAGGTGCCAGTGGCTCAAGAGTGTAATCCTCATCTTTCTGTGTTTCCTGCCCTTCTACTGCAGGCCTGCAACGAGTTCACCACCCATGTGATGAACCTCCTTCGAGAGCAGAGCCGGACCAGACCCATCTCCCCGAAGGAGATCGAGAGGATGGTGAGCATCATCCACCGCAAGTTCAGCTCCATCCAGATGCAGCTCAAGCAGAGCACGTGCGAGGCAGTCATGATCCTGCGTTCCCGGTTCCTGGATGCACGGTAAGTGCTCTCTGTGGCGTGGCCTGGAGAGAATTACTCATCAGGGTTGCAGTACCTGGTCTGACCTTCTCCAGAGGCTCCAGTTTCACCGTATGGGATGGATGCTAAACCAAACAGTTGCTTGAGGACAGACAGTTTTGGGGTCTGAATCACCGTGGTTACTCATGCTGGGTGAGCAACAAGGCAGGCAGCCATTAATAAGGTGGCAGGACATTTCCTTTTCATAGCTGGGTACCTCTCATAGCTATGGGCCCACAGTCCTCTTAACTCCTGTGCTCCAGTGACACACTCTACAGGAGTTCTGTTTCTTTGAAAGATAGAAACTTTCCCACACTTCATAAAGGCAGAGTATACTCCAATTCAGTAAGCATGTATTAGTTTACTAGGTGCTCTGGGCTAAGTGTTCTAAGTACAACGATGAGTAAGACATATTCCTTGAGTATATATGGGAAAGGAGGTAACCTGATATGAACCCATTTGCTTTCTGTGTTTTTTGTTTTAGTTTTTTAAATCTAGTATAATTGTTTATAGCTTTACTTTGTGAGTTAAAAACATTCAGTTGGGGAAAACATGGATAGAAAATTTCTTTAAAAAAAAAGACAGAGAAAGAAAGAGAAAGAATTGAGTCACTGAAATCAGGAGACAAATATCAGTAAGATCCAAGCTGGCCCAGGCCAAAAAAAGTGTCAAAATACCATTTCAGTAAATACAGCCAGGCATAGTAATTCTTATCTTTAATCCCAGCTATGCCGGAGTTATAGTTAAGACAATTATAGTTCAAAAGGTTAGTTCTAAGGAAAAACTCAAGACAGAAAAGAAAGGAAAAAAAAATACAACTAAAGCAAAAAGGATCAGAGGCATGATACAAGTGGAAGAGTGCCTGCCTAGCAAGCACAAGGTTCTGAATTCGAATCCAGTACCACCAAAGCCAAAATAAAGCAAGAGAACCATGAGAACAAAGAACAAGGGATGAGATTTTTAAAAAATCTCTTTGTGAATACCTTTGATTCTTTTTCAGTCTGCTTTCTAGCCCATATGATGGTGATAGTCATATCTTTCCTTTGGTCTAAAGGAATATTTTGATATTAAAACTAGCAAATACAGTTCAGTGTCAGTATGTCTTCAGACCTACAGTTCATTGAAAATTAGTTACCTTTTATGAATACAGATATCATCTCTCATGATGGCAATTCTTGAAAATAATCCCAACCTATGAGTTTTATTATGGCCTGTATATCATTTTATAATCTCCAGTTTGGTCCTTTTTCATACAGAAAGATCATGGATCCTCTTGGGTTTTTGTTCCTCCCTGAAATCATGTATTATTCAGCTGTCCCTTTCGTCTTTCTCTGTCTTTACAATTGTAGTCTTTACAGTCCTTGAACCTCTTTAAAACTCCCTGGCATCTTCTCCCAACTCTTTTATTCACTTTTGTTCCTGTGTTGCTTGGAATACAAAATGAGAAGGCCAGCTAGCAAAATGTATCTCTGGGTCAATGGAATTCCATAGAGTAAGTCAAGAGAAAGTAAAAATGAAGTCTGTTTTCCCAGATGGATGCGATGGTGATGGAGAGGGAGGAGCAAAGCCACCCTGCAGGAAGACCCTCTGTGCTGCGCCTTCACCCTGCAATCTGGTGCCAGCCTGGCTTCTGTAATTCAGCCCGTTCTGCACAGTGTAAAGTGCAAGTGACTGGTAGCCTCTGTCTAGGTCCTTCCTCTGGGCTGTAGCCACCACCAGGCTGCTGGTGTTGTTTCATTCCCATGGTAACTCCCTTAGTTAAAATGCTGCAGTTGGTATTTATGTTGGCAGATACTGAAAAAAAAAAAAAGAAAGAAAGAAAAGAGAGGGGGAAAAAAAGAAACGTGAGGTTCAGACCATGTGCTTTTCAAGAAGGACATGGGAGAAGAAGGCGGAGCAGAAGCATTGTCTCATTGCATTTCTCTGCAACAGTTTTACTGTGCCCAGTTGAAGGTCACACTGTAAATGACACGAATCCTGGGCAGCTTTGTATGCCAGCCTCTGCCTAGATGGGCTCGGTTAGCACCAAAAGGAACAATTGCTCTAAGACAGGGTCTTTTTCTTGCTTTGGTTGCAACCTTTGGATCACTGCGTCTGAGCCAAGCATCAAAATGAACCTCTTGCATTGTTATTCTTATTTTATTTTGTCCACATATTTATTATCAGTGAAACACCATCACCCCAATGCCAGCCCAAAGCTAAGCAAAATAAATGTTGGCTTAGACTTCCTAATTGGGGAATTTATATTGCTTTTTCCAATAATTGAGAATGCTAACCAAACCTTAGTAAGAAAGACAAGACAGTTCATGTGTTGCTCTAAACCATGAGGCTGGTAGGCAAGGCCTCATCAAAAAAGGCTTCATGGAAGATAAAGAAAATACAAAGAAGGGCTGGGAAGGTGGCTCAGTGGTAGAGCGCTTGCCTTGCATGCCTGAGGCCCTGGGTTCGATTCCTCAGCACCACATAAGCAAAAAGAAAAAAGCCGGAAGTGGTGCTGTGGCTCAAGTGTAGAGCGCTAGCCTTGAGCTGAAGAGCTGAGGGACAGTGCCCAGGCCCAGAGTTCAGGCCCCACGAGCATCCAGACCCCCCCCCCCCAAAAAAAAAGTAATAGGCTAGTCTTTGTAATCTAATAGGTATGTAGAGTTGACCGTCACTACACTGTTGTGGAACACAGTGGAATACAAGGGGTATTAGTTTTCTATTACGTTTTACAGATTACCGCCGATTTAGCACCTTAAAACAACCTGGGGGGCTGGGAATGTAGTCGAGTGCTTGCTTAGCATGCCTGAAGTCATGGGTTCAATACCTTAATACCTTATAAACAAGAAAAGCCAGAAGTGGCACTGTGGCTCAAGTAGTAGAGTCCTAGCCTTCTGCAAAAGAAGTTCAGGGACAGTGCCTAGGCCCTGCGTTCAAGACACAGGACTGGCAACACACACACACACACACACACACACACACACACACACACACACACACACACACACACACACACACACGGGTTTATTATCTTCCAGGTCTTTTTTGTTGTTGGTCAGGTGTTTGGGCACAGCTCAGCAGTGTCTTCTGCTCCTGTTTTGATGAGACTTGTCCACAGAATGATTGTGAGCACAATTTACCTCCTAATGCTGGGATACAGGGAGCCTAGGTTTTCCAGCTATTGCTCGCCACTTGCCTACTTGTTTTTTTCAAGAAGCCAGCAAGAGGAACACCACATATTAAGACTTTAACCAAATTAACTTCCTTATTTATTTAAACTCAATTAGTACCTAATCATTGGGTGGTAGCCCATCATGTTCACCATCCCAGCCCCCCTCCCATGCGGAGAATGTACCCACCAGGGAGGGGCACCTTAAAATTCTGCCCACCAAACTTCTAGGGGGCACCACTTGGTCCCAGATTGCCCTACTGTGGGCCCACCCCATCTCTTTCCCTAATAACAACTTAACTGTGAGAAAAGCTTACTTAGGATGACAAATCATATTTTCATAGTGAAAGAGAAACATTTACAAGCCCTCTGGTTTCTGAGTAAAAGTTTTCATGACTTGTTGTCTGTAGCATCTTGTTGTAGATAGCAATAACATCATTAACAGATGGTTAGAATTACACTTGTGCACTTTCCTCCAAGAAGAAGATGGCAAGGAAGAGGAAAGGACATCCATTAAAGTGGCAGATACTCCCAAAGACTCCCTTTTTGTGTTTTTAAAGTGAAGTTGGTTCTATATACAGGAATAAATAAGATAACATAAAAAACAACCTTAGTATGGCATCTGGTATGTAGTACCCATTCTATAATTCCAGTGTAATGATAATAAGACTATTTTACTGTCTAATATTATTTAGGTCAGTATTCCATTGTGCAATTATTAGTGGTATGAATAGTAGATCTGAGGTTCAGGAAGATTGCTCTAGTGATTCTATTAAAGAGAAGCTGAGTTGGAAAATAGACTATAGGAGACCATTGTTGAAGATGGTGTTTCAAAGGAGGGCAACAGTGTGGAAGTATGAAATATTTCTGCATCTTACGCAAATAACGAGAGCAAATGACTCTTATTTGAAGCAAACTCTATGGAGTAGACACCAGTGTGCTGCTTGGGCATGATTTCTGGAAAGTTTCAGTCTAGTAGTCTCCTATGTGACTATTTGACTTTAAATTTAACTTAATTAAAGTACCATATTTAAATCATAACATTTTAAAATGCATTGTATTCATAAACTGTTTTGTTGCATGGGCAACTCTTCTGTACAAGTACTGAGACAGTAAAGATATATATTTTAAAAAATCATTTCTCTAGCTGTATTGGCGACATTTCAGCTGTATGGTAGTCTCAGGTCCTGAGTGACTACTGAGTATCCAACGACACAGATACAGAATGTACCCCATCACAGAAAGCTCTATTGGACACTATGAGTCATATGAGACACACAGGCTCATCCAAATCTGTTTCAAAAATAGCAGTTACAGCAAGTATGAGACAAAAGGGTAGATTTGAAAGGACCAAGCTGGTAGGACTTGCTTTGCGGTACAGAATCTGATGAAAAGAAATAAGGAGGAGGATGGTGAAAGTGGGAGGAGGCAGTTCTAGATTTCAGCACATGCCAAGCACTCAAATACTTCAGTGAGTGAATGAATGAGTGAATTAGCAACTATGATGAAATATATGTGTAACAGGATAGAACTGATGGGGATAAGAGGTAGTAGCTTTGTGACATGTTTTTCTGGAAGGGGTCTGGGAAACGGGATGGTGGCTCTTAGGAGAGGTATTAGAGCAAGAAGCAGCTCACTGGTAGTCAATTTATGTCTAGGATGGCTGTGTTTCTCTCTATCCTGTCCCATAACTCCAAGGTTTTCATCTCTAAAACACCATATGTATCCATATCATTTAATCAGCATCCACATTTCTTCTGGTAAAAACTGAGATATCCAAGTGTCCTTAAAGTATTTGATTGGCTAGAAATCACAACTGTCCATTCCCCAAGCTGGTGATTCTTCTAGCCAGAGCAAAGCAACCCAGATGTCTCCAGTTAGTGGGAGAAACCTTATTGTCAGACTTGGGTTATTTTCACTGCATTTCCCGGAACTCTGAAAAATCCTGACCTTAGGATTTCGAAGACCCTAGATTCAGACAGCTATGGAAAGAAGATCAGCAAGTCCACCAGGGTAGATGAGGCCACCTCGGGAAGACTGCACATCACGAGAGCTAGGAGAGAGCCAGGAACAGCTGTCTGCACCAGCCCCAGCCCACCAGCTTGTTCCAGAGAGGCTTCCTTTGAGCTCAGTTGGAAGAGTCCCAAAAAATACACTGCAATGCTAATGCAAACAACTGAGTAAAGTATCAGAGGCTCTCCCAATTAGGAAAGCCTTCAGGGCCCAGTTCCCCAGGCCTACAACTGTCTTTAGGCAAAGAAGCAGTAGCCAAAGGTTATCTAAAGATAACCTGGAGACTGTATCAGCTACTTGGCTATTTTTCTCAAATTCCCATTGTGCAAAGAGCTCTTTAACACGTGCTCACTTTCTACTTTGGCTTTTTAATCAAGTCTGCCCAATTTCTGATGCTGGATGACCCAGAAACTCAGCATGATTTGGGGAGAATGACTTGGGCTTGGCATAATTTGGACAGATGTGGTTAATACCTGTGGACAGATGGTGTTCATCCGGTAAAATCAGGCACTTTATTGTGTTAATTAATCCAAGTGGGACCCTGAAAATACAATATTAGCTGAATTTCCTGTCTAGCAAAGCCATCCATGCTTTCTCTTGGCTAAGTTGGGAAATCCTGTACCCTGGTATAACCAGAGGTATTCTGGAAATCTTTTCCATGAGGAAACACTTTGGATGAAAGCAAAAAAGGGAAAAGTGCTAATAGAGCTCATTTAAAAATGAAGGCCCCACAACTTCAAGGAGGGTCAAGGGATTCAGCAAGGAACCTAGAGATGCCTAAGCAACTCCCCCCGCCAGCTACCCACAGTCCTTAGCCGCAAGGAGCAATGAAGTGATTCTCACTTGAAATTAGTTCAATTAGCACTTTCTCCCCTACAAGCAGGAGAGTGCTTTTATTCAAAAAGTAGTCGTCTTCTTTTTGCCAACCTCGTATGTATGAAGAATTTCTGTGGGCTTTTGTTTTACCACTTAGCAGCTGTTCTTACTAAGGGAAGTGCCACTTCTCTTCTTTTGAGAAAGGTCAAGGCGTCAGGGGGTTAATTCCCCTCACTTTCCTGCCCTCTTCTCCAGAAGTCTTTTTAAAATGTTACATGCATTTGCATGAGGATTGAATAGAGAGAAAATGATGACTTATTTTTAACTTCTGGCTGCAGAGTCTCTGGGTAATTGCCAACAGCCAGTTTGTGTAGGAGGTAGAGACTAAGTTTGTAGTCAGGCTGACCTGAAGTAATACCTTTGATACTGCATACCAGCTGAGTGACCTTTGAGCACATTTCTTCATCCATGAGTAGGAATATCCATATTTACTACTCTAGTTGTAAAAAGTTAAATGGTTGGAATTAATAGCTAGGAAGAAAAGGCCTAGCATGTAATGAGAAAAACTCTCACTACTCAGACCTAGTTTTTGCTATGTATCAGATACTGTGCTGAGTTTGGCTTTGTTTCTTCCTTTTTCTCACCTCAAAAGCTCAGTATGACTTCTAAACTTCCAATTGAAGAAGCTGAGCCTGAGAGAGTTAACATAAATCACTTGGTTAGTATTCAGGTGGCATAGGATTCAACACCAAGTTGACCTGAATGGGGAAACTTCATGCTTCATCATTGTCCAAACATGGCTACCATTCTTCTCTGCAGAGAACACTGAAAAACCAAACAAATGCTTTTTTTGCTTTGGGGATCCAGCCCATTTTTGAAAATCTCTGATTAACCTTTTGATTAAAATGGTTCCCAGCTGAAATCCTTTTGTAGAACTACTTAAAGATAATAATAAAATAGTAAGTGTGTCCCCTCTCAGTTGTAGATCCTGTTTTTGCTTTTCACATTTGTTTAGTGTGATCATTTTTTGTTTTCTTCTCTTTCTCTACATGAAGGCGGAAGAGACGGAATTTCAACAAGCAAGCGACAGAAATCCTGAATGAATATTTCTATTCCCATCTCAGCAACCCTTACCCCAGTGAGGAAGCCAAAGAGGAGTTAGCCAAGAAGTGTGGCATCACAGTCTCCCAGGTGAGGAGTTTGCAGTCTCAACCTGTAGCCTGGCCATGTTGGGGCCCCATGGTAGGGTCTTGGAGATCTTGCTTTACTGAACACGTGGGCCTTGCAAATTTCATCAGCTTAAACCTTAAAATGGCAAAGTAAACACGATGTGTATAAGAAAGTTTCCAGGTGTGTACCTGGAAGAATATGAAAAGAACCAATAGAAAGATGAGGCCAGGGAGAATACAATGTATAAACAGGGATAGGGCTCATCCCACTGGAATGCCTCCTTCAGAGCCCCCTTTGCTTTAAATGGATGAAGTTTCTTAAATACTTGGAAAGCCATCAGTATCTATCATACTACTTTCTCAAATGAAGCCAATTCCTGAGCTTTTTTATTTTAAGTCCCTTTAGATGATAGGGACTTGCCTTTAAAAAGTGTTTATTGATGTGCTGATTCTATCTCTGATTCCCTTTATCACTGATAAAGAGAAGGGATTTTAACATGTCATTGAAGTATTCTCTTGTCCCTAATGTATTAACCCCTAACAGATGCTGATGACTTAGAAAACCACATGATAGGAAGATTTTATAAACCTAGAATCTTCAACATTAAGCAAAACTGTAGGCAATATTTCATGTAGCTACATTTTTTTTTCCTGCTCTAAGAATCCATCCAGACTTCTTATTCATTCTCTCAACCATGGTCTACAGTTTCCAACAGTAGTGGTAATTATAAAATCTGTCAGAGAACACTTTCTTTAAAATTGTGTTACTTGTAAGAAAATTAAAACTAAATTGTGGGTCTTCTATTAAAAAGGGAAAGAGTAGGGGAGAAGTCCACCCTGGGGAGAAACTTACTTGTGTTTTTTACTCTTTGGTTGAAATTGAGCATCCGTACTTCCTTGAGTTGGGTTTTGACTTCTGTTATTCCCCTCCAGAGGCTTATCCCCACCAACTTGTGTGTAGCTAAATTAAATTAGGTCTATTCAGAGCATCGGGCTCCACCAAAGGTATTTCAAGGAGAAGCTTGCCAGAGTGATTTTTGCTGTAGCAAACATCCTTTGAAATATTCTTTCAGATAAGGCAGAATGTAGTACTCTTCTCCCCAGACTTTCTGGGTGTGCTTTGACATAGCTGAAAATCATTTCTAGTCTTCACAGTTCAGAGAAAACTAAACATGAATGGTCAGACGCAAAGAACTGAGTTTTTGTTGAGACTGTAACTATTCTTGTCCAAATTTAAACCCCTTGTTTACACACACACACACACACACACACACACACACACACACACACACACACACACACACACACACACACACACACACACACGCGCGGCTCAGCTCATATGGCTTTGAGCATTTCCTTTCTTCCTTGAGAATCTTTCTAAACTACCTTGATCTTTTTCTTCTTTTTTCCAGTTACCTTTGAAAAATCTTCCTACGGTTATTTCTTTCTACCTTTTCCACTTATAAGTCAAAAGCAATGATAATTATGATTGATTTGTGTAAGTAGCACAATTTATATCAACAAAAACACGAACTTCAAAGTATAATTAGATGTGCAGTGGCCCTGAGTTTTACTCAGAAGTGCCCTTTCCCTTCCAGTTTAACTGTTTTTTTCTGTATTTATAATAAATAAAGCATTTTATTATTGAAATTTTTTCTGTCTTGTATACTAGTATCACAGTGGTACCACTTGATTTTTTTAAAAGAAAACTTGGCATTTCAGCTGTAGCATGAGCCATACAGACCTTTGAGTGCTACGCTTATAATGTTTTCACTTTTTGATTTTCATTTAAAAATGTATGTAGTTTCACAAGAATTTTCTTTATCTGCCACTGTTGAGTGTATAAACTATATATAAGCTGTGGTACAAATGGTGACCAATTCATACTTCCCTTACCAAATTTATATTTTGTTTTATAATTGTATGAAATCTGCAGCAGCATTGTAGTTCAAAATTACATCTGGAATATATGATATTAAATATTCCTTCCCAGTATAAGAATTATGAGGGTAAACTTGAATTTGACTGTTCCCTATTCTTGTCTGGCAGAGGTCTTTATGTAAAGGGAACAGAGATACTGAATTAAGCCAGGACAGCTGCTGTGAGCCACATGAAGGAAATAAATTAACAAATGGAAGTACATTAGGCTTATTGTGTTTATTGGCTTTAACATTTAAAGCCTGGAATTCAAAAGAATAATTAGTTGTGTGCTTGAGTTTTTCCTTATGTAGATAACACCACGCTTTGCATGAAATACTCCAGGAATTCTATTGGATTCAATTATATTGATGAAGAGGTCGATTATGCTATTCACTAAGAATCTAAGTACATTTTAAATTGGTTTATCTTTAAAAAAATTGAAATTAATCTATGCATGAAAGCACCCATGTGTTGATATAGATTTATATGGTATTTAAAGGTCTGTGTATTTTGATGGTGCAAAACCAGCTTTTGCATTGATAAGAAAAAGGCATGTCTCCTGATATGTTTATTTTAGTGACACAAATTAACATGTAAATAAATTTTAAATGTTGGTTCTAAAGTGAGAGTCCTAGGTTAACTGAACATATCCTCTGTGGGAAAATTTTAATTACTTTAGTTGTGTTTGATTTTTAGTTGTGTTAAATAAAGGCATCTCATTTTATGTATTTGTTCCCTTTGAAGTTCTGGTCTCTTCATCAATGCCACAAAAAAAATCACGAATAATAAAACCAGTTAGCTTACCTCTACATCTATCCATAAGCCTTTTTCTGTAGCAATGCTTCTGAAAGATGAAATGGTAACTTTATCCCCTTCTTTTAAACCACCCTAGGTATCAAACTGGTTTGGAAATAAGCGAATCCGGTACAAGAAGAACATAGGTAAATTTCAAGAGGAAGCCAATATTTATGCTGCCAAAACGGCTGTTACTGCCACCAATGTGTCAGCCCATGGAAGCCAAGCTAACTCACCCTCCACTCCCAACTCAGCGGGTTAGTTTCTTCTTTGATTTGAAGGGATTTGCTCTCCATTTTTCTACTTGCTTTTCCTACATTGAGATTTTTCTTTTCAGTTTTGATTGGTTGATTTTTATGTCTAATTATCCTTTTTGTTGTCATTGTCAGTTTGGGGGTTTTCTTCCATATCTGAACAGCAGTGTGTTATAATCTTCATAAGGTTATATTAAGGTTTGCATTGATGCTTTTGTTTACATTGAGATACAAGTATGTTGAGGTGTTTTTGATGAGACCCCTGCATTCAGAGGTTCCAAAAAATAAATTAGGCTTAGTAAGGACAGTTCCATTAAGTTAAGTTGGCTTGTGTGGTTTTGTTTTGTTTTGTTTTGGTTGGCATTTGATGTTTTTATTTTAATGTGAAATTTTTATCCTGGACTATTTTGCTTTCCTACCACATAATGCCTGGGCCACTTACTAGTGTGCAATCTGTGCAGGAATTTACTTTTTTTTTTTTTTGCCAGTCCTGGGGCTTGAACTCAGAGCCTAGATACTGTCCCTGCAGTTTTTTACTCAAGGCTAGCACTTGAACCAGAGTTCCACTATTGGTTGTTTTGTGGCTTAGTTGGAGATAAGAGTCTCATGGACTTTCCTTCCTAGACTGGCTTCAAAGGGTAATCCTCACATTTCAGCCCCTGAGTAGCTAGGAATGCAGGCATGAGCCATTGGTGCACTGCAGGAATTCACTGTTAGAGCAAATCACTTATTAGCAAAGTCTGGTCTGAAGAGCCAACCTATACTTTTTTCTGTACATTCTTCATAGTATTAGTCCTTATTGTTTTATTTTGTTCATTTTCCTTATGTAAGCCACAAAGAAAATTACCAATCATTAATTCATATTATTCATATTCCAGTTTTCATGTTTTAATATCAGTTGTGTGCTTTATCCTTCTTGGTTTGTTTTTGTGGATATTCAGGGTTTAGGCTCACAGAACATATTTTTGAATGTGCTTGGTGCCATCGATTCTGAATATCCACAGTGTAAAAATATCACCTTAGTATTTGTATGTTATGAAAGATGTGTTGGTCCTTTTTTCTTGAAGAAGTGGAGTGTGAGAGTAAAATGAGCTACCTTTTTAAATTATTTGGTATCAGATTATGCATTTCCTCATAATAAGCAAGATAAGTTGATTTGGGATGTGCCATGTACATCTAAGAAAATGGATGATCTCAACAAATTAATAATATATCTTAGAATATATAATATCTTTGACCTCACAGCTTATTTGTTTGCTAAAATACATTCTTGTTCTATCCTGTAGTGGCTTATATTGAAGACTAGCAGGGCTCTGTACTCGCATACCTTCTGTGAGCCTCTAGTTGCATACATTTTTTTTTAGCAAGTTAAGCCACGGGGCTGCACAAACATGATCTTTTTGTGTTAAATAGAATCAGACACAGAGAGTGGCCTGGCCTTAGTAAATATGGATGTGGTAAGACAATCCATTGATCTAGTTTTCTTTTCCCAGGCCTGAAGGTTGGGTTAGTATGAGGAGCATTTTGACTCTCCAAAGTTTTTGTTGTTATTTTCTTCCTTTCCCATCAGAGTAAAGTTGACAAAGGATCAAGGCTAACAGGTTATTCACCAGAGAATTTTCTTTCTTCCTCATCTGGTCAATTATTAAACATTTCAAGCCAAACACTGCACTGCACGGCAGAGCTTTTCACTTGTCTCTTTGGAAGGAGTATAATTCTGTCAACATTAGCAAAAATGCACTCAACACTCCTGCGAAGGATATCATAATGCAAAACAGATATCAAAATGACTTTTTCCTGTCCCTGATAGGTCTGAATCGCAGATGGCTTAGCATGATTTATGACTAGTCCTTAGAAGAGCCCTGTGGACTCCCTTCATTACTAAATCCGCAACTATTTATTCTTTCCTAAAGCCCTTAAAAAAGAGAAAAGTAAGCATTTTAACCCCCTACTCTGCATTTAAGAATTATGTTGGCTCTTGTAGAATGTCAGTCTATGATTACAATATTCTAAGGAATTTTTCTGGTGGCTTAAGCTTCATATGACTGTTCTGAGCATAAAGTAAATTATTATGGAAAATTTGAGCTAAGTTTTCTAGTCTTGCCTAAGTTGTTGGAAATACTATGCATAGGAACTTCTCTGTGCTACTTTTTCTAAAGTAGAAACCAGAGAAACTACTATCATACACATACAACAACATAGACTCCTTAAAGATAAATGTCTTAACAGTAAGTTATAAATGGGCTCTTCTGTATTTTCTTCTGCTTTACACATAATCCAAATCATTGCACAAATAGGAGTGATAAAGATTTAAAGTCTTACATAGAGTATTTATTATGTGAAGGAAATAGGATAATTAATACATGAAATATGTCTTGGTAGAGTTTGAAGTCCAAAGCTCGAGAAACTCAGACTTTTTTGTTCTGTTAATGTTGAAGCAGCAGGTTTGTTCTTTGGTTTTGCTATTGTTTTGTTTTTCTCCAGAAGCTTTATTTACTGTAAATTCTCTCCAGTAGACTGGAGTTAATTTTACAATCCTCTTCCTCCATTGGCTTCTTAAGGGGAACAGCATTTCTGTGTCTTTTCTTAGGGCACTTCTCAGCCTTACTCCCTCTCCTTAACCAGACTTCATTAAAAAAAAAAATCAGATAGAACTAGGCCCTGTGGAGGGATTAGCAAACATTTGGAGACATTTTACTTGCTTTAGATTTTTCATCAACATAGTGGGCAAAGTTATGGAGCCCAAAGGAAGTCTAGAAGGAAGACACAAGAATTAGTCAAAAAATAAGTCAAAAAAATGGGAAATGGTTGAAGCAGCCTTAAAAGTCATGGGCCCATAATTCACTGAAGAAACCTGAATTCTCAATTTCCTTTTTTTGCTGAGATCATGAATACATGAATTAAAGCCTTAGAAAGTACAGAGCCCCCTGCCTTGGAAGCAAGAGGATGATCTAACTAAGCTTACATGGTAAAATAGAGGATCGAAAAATAAAAAAGCAAGAGGATCTCTCCTGCATGTCTCCAAATGAGATAGGAGTCCAGTGGTATCAAACTGATTGCTTCATCATTCTGAAACTTTGCTCTCTAAACTACAGAAATTGGGGCAAATATTTACTATGTGACTACTTCATAGAATTTACATACTTCTTGATGAGAAATAAATGAGCCAATACTTTGAAACACTTGTGTTTCTTAATAGAAAAGGATAAATCTGTTATTATTCTAGGTTATTGGTTCTCAATGAGGGGCGAATTTGGACCCCAACAGAATCCTGGTCATCTCTGAAGTTGGTTTCACGTTACTAAAGTTTTGAGGAGAGGGTTTTGCTGGAATTTGTGGATAGAGACAAGCATATGGCTAAATATCCTACAATGCATATGATGTTCCCCACAAGGAAGAATTATCTGGCCTAAAATGTCAATAGCATTCACTTAGGTTATATCATTATTCTGTATTTGTAGAGTATGGAGTTAATTGGTTTTGTGTATATGTGGTTTGTTTTTTGATATTTGTTGTTTTGTTGGTTTGTTTTTCCTTTCTGATATTTGTGGGGTTTTTGTTTTTTTTTTGTTTGTTTATGTGCTTTTTTCCTGAATAAACTTAAGTCTCCAAAGATTCTTCCGAGTAGAAACACAATACCTAGGAAATGTCACAAAACATGGATGTTAACAGACCTCCATATGGTAATCAAAGATGATCCATTATTTCTTCTCTATTCAATGGGGTGTAGATAGGACTCTGCCCCAAATATCAAAGCAGCAGTTTAAAATAAGCCAATTCCTAAGCCAAATTCAGAACCTTCCAACCGACAAGCACATCTTGAAATGTGCTTCTAACCATTGCTGACTACTCCTACTCCATGAAACAGGGGCTGTGTGCAGGTAAGGTTCCTGAATGCATCCACTCTTTGGTAATTCCACAACATCTCTGAGATAGCCCATTCACTTTCTCTCTAGGAACTCTGGACTTAACAGGAGGCTATGTATTTATTCCATGATAAGTTCTTTCCAATCTCCTGTGCTAGATGAAAAACTTTTTTAAGTTTAAGTGTGGATTTCTATCGGCTTTTATTGTGGTATTGTTATTATTATTATATCTGCTTTATTGTGGTATTAGTGGAACCTGGTCTCTTCTTTCAGCACCATCACTGCCTCTAGTTATTTATCAGAGTCAGAAGCCATGACAGTGTGGAACATGGGTGCAGAGACAATGAAATGCTGAAACAGCACAGCCAAGTGCACAAGGGACAATTTCTGCAATTACTGCTCTGATACAAATGCATTTGTACATGAAGTACGTTTATATGCGCATATTTATCTCTGTGTACATTAGGCAGTCAGACATATTTACAATTTATCTATGCACATATATTTTTTAAATCATCTGTGTCAATTGCTGTGTGTATCTTGTAAATGGCACATTCCATGTCTTCATGGCTCCATGGAGGCCATGCCTCTCAGCATCAGTGTGGCTCCCTTTGGGGGCTTCTCCCATTGCTCAGGTGTTGTACTGATTTCCAGTAAGCCACCAGGCAAGAATACAGCATATGTGTCTGTTATGTGGTATTTGAGTGGGAGGGAAATAAAATACTTGGCCTTCAAACTCAACCCACTCAGGGATGAGATACTCAGGATGCTTGATGACATACAGATAATTATGATTTGGATTCTTTGGTTGTGATGACATCTAAATGTGAGCATGTATGTGACACTTACTGCATTGGCTTTTATTATTTGGGTCCTGTTTCTGTGATTACAAATCGAATTTGATGGGAATAGAAGTCATGTGAAGGTCTGGATTATATATTATATATCTACATTGTGTATATATGTGTGTGTGTGTATATATATATATATATATGTATATATATATATATATATACATATATATATATATACATACATACGAACACTTCATCTGTAGGTTGGTGAGAATGCTTTCAAAGATTCAATGTTAATGGAAGAAAATTCTAGGCCAGAGCTTTCATCTTATTGACTGAGTATAGTCTGTACCTGGCCAGATCTTCTGCCTGTTTTGCTAAGACTCAACTTTGGTAATTCCTTTCAGATAAGCTAAGCAGAGAAGTATGTGCCAGGTTAATGTTAATGTTTAAACTGTTATTCTGAATCAAGCATTTATTTTGCCCTGGGAAAGCAGGAATGAAACAACATGAGACAATGAAATCCTTTTCCTAAATCAGTTGTTATAATAGTAATCAGTTGATGTAGTAATAAAGTTAGTTAGACTTCTCCACGTATGTATACAAAATCCCACAGACCAAAGAAAACTGGAGATGTTTCTTAACTTGGGGTTGTCCTCAAGTTTGTTAACTATCTGGTTTCTCTAAAGACTTCTGCTTTTGAGGTATGATTCTATCCTGGGCAGTTACACATAGAGCATAGTGGCAGAGTATGGCATGCATTGCGTGGTAAGCGCTTCTTCTGTGGGGGAAAGCAAAGGCCTTCTGTGCTTAACCGCAGCTCTCCACGAGAACAGGGCAGATGTCTAAGAGAGCCCAAATCCCTGTCTTGGGAGAGGAGAAAGCAGGTGTCAGAGCTGAGGCATGAATCATTATTGGGCAATTCCACACTGGTGATGGCTGTTTCAGAATACAAGAGCAAGAGGGCAATTGAAGCAATCTACTAGTAGAAATCACAGAGTACAACTGACCTGGGTCCCTGAGGTCTCTCCTTTTCCAGGCTAACGTCATGTTTTAACCAAACCTTGCACGTTGAGCTTTCTTTCCTAATGCGCTGAGCTGCACGATGACTTCAGAGTAATATTAAGCTTTTGCAAGCCTTTGTGTTTAGATTGAGCTTGAGCACATGTTACTACAACAGAGCCCATGGAACCTGGGTGGTGCCAAGAATAGATCTAAAGGCTAACTCTCTAGATGAACTTTTCATCTCTAAAAGGTGAAAGCCAGTAGCTATCTGCCCCTTCTGGAGGCCCACTTGCAAAATGATTATGATTATCAGCAGCATTTCATATATCATGCATGCTTGAGAATTCCTGGCCCATTATTCTACTTTATGCTTCTCCATCCTGGCAGGGAGCGGGGAGCAGTATATCATTCCTACATGTTCTTATAGTCTGAGTGTTTTCCTGGACTATTTGCCACCCAGAAGAAACTTTATCTTCTTTCTGGAAATCAGAAGTAGTATGACATTGCCTTTATGCCCTATCCTCTCATGCACTGCTCCCATGTGAGTGGATGGATTCAGCAATAGCATGATTAGAATCCAGTTGAGTAGCTCAAATGCTCCACTATACTGACAGAAGTATCATTGGCCAGCCCATACTCTCCATCTTGTGGCCCTCTGGGAAACACTAATGTTTTAGAGACATGAGAGATCCTAAATGGACTACGTTGAAAAGAATACAGATTTTCTTTCTCAGCTTGAAGCTGCTAAGAGAAAGTCTTATCAACAACATATTAAGGTGTAGCTTGCACCCTTTGTTGCTTGCTCTGTTCTTCATGCTACTAACCAGACTCTGGACGTTGTTTTTGTTTTTACTTTTGATTTGGGGGATTGCTTTGCATGTCATTTCTCCTCTTGGCTGTTAGTTTCGGGTTGAGCTTTTTCCTTTCTGTGATTCAGGTGCCTCACTCTTTCCTTTCCAGGTTCTTCCAGTTCTTTTAACATGTCAAACTCTGGAGATTTGTTCATGAGCGTGCAGTCACTCAATGGGGATTCTTACCAAGGGGCCCAGGTTGGAGCCAACGTGCAATCACAGGTAGGGACCCAGCCAATATGCCATCAGGTGAATGCCTTAAGAGTTCAAGAGCCCTCAATCGTATTGGCTTTCTGCTCCTGTGCAGAAAGAGAGACAGAGACAGAGACAAAAAGAAAGAAAACAAAAGGAGAGAGGCATAGAGACAGTGATAGAACAACCACAGTAGACCAAAACGAAGACAGCTATGATCCTAGCAATCATGTCCATAATTCATTAATGCATTTGGCTCTGGCTTGTCAATCATGCTAAGAGGGCAGGGGAGGATGGGCAAATTCAGGGTGAGGTGACCTAGGTATCTCAAGCAAGCAAAAACAATGTGTACTTTATTCAGTAAAGGGAAACGGAGGAGGAGTTCAATCCATTGTCTCCATTTTCAGGTCTCCCTTTCGTTTGTGGTTTTCCATACTCAGTAGTTGCCAAAATAAGGAAATAATTTATAAGTAGGCCAATGTGTTGATATTTCATGTTTTTATTTTGTTTTAAAACCATCGAGCCAGGTTAATTAAATATATCTTCTTAGTCATTATTGAGGTCAACAGACTTGGGTTTCTGGTGATAAATGTAAGTCCATGTTGGGAAGCAAAAATCAAGTGATGTGTAAAAAATCTCAGTGCTCCTTGATAAATGGGTCACTTTCATGACTCGTCAGGGAGCCATCCTACTATCTCCACATGAAGTGTGACATGAGAGAGTAAAGTCGTATGCTCTGGGTCAGAATTAGTAAGGAAGTCCATTTCCACGTCAATCCAATTTCCCACTCTGCATATGGAACAGAAAGCATCCCATGGCTAGAACAGACAACCAGTGATTCAGCATCTTTCTCAAGAGACATGGCCTGGGAATAAGTTTGAGGTGATACAGCCAGACTTCGGTCAAGAGACTAAACAATTGAACATTATTTAAGTATTCAATAAAGAGGGTTTTAATGACATTCTCTTCTCCCTGAGAGATGGCAGCTAAAGGTCCCCTACATGAACTTTTCCTGCTGTAGGATACGCAACTAAAGAAAGGCTGTGTGGAATGATCTATAGGGAAGAAAAGTGGGGAGAAGGGAAGTTTTAAAAACCTCTTTTCTTTAAATCCCTCAGCCACGCAGCCTTCTCATGCAGCATTGTGGAATCACAAATCCCAGTTCTTTTACTGTTTTACTGTCTTGCTTACTGAAGTCAGGACTGAGAAGGTGTTTGGCATTAGGAAGAGTCAGCCTCCATCTAATGGAAGACTACCACCCAAATGGTTGCATTAATTTGGCCTTTCCCAATGGTAGTCCCTAAGATGATGTTGACCTGCCTCCCTTCCCCTGTATCTCTCTGACTAATATCTTCTTTGTTGTTGTTCCTCCGTTTAGGTGGATACCCTTCGCCATGTTATCAGCCAGACAGGAGGATACAGTGACGGACTCGCAGCCAGTCAGATGTACAGTCCGCAGGGCATCAGTGTAAGAAAATAAGGCTTCCCCCCACCCTTCATTTGTATTCTATCACTACCAATTATTTCAAAGCCATGGGGCCCAGAATGCCACTTAGTAGAACTTGTCTTAGCTTTACGGTCACCTAGTTTCTTGTTTCTGTATCGGTCATGCCATCGGCAGCATCCTACCCACAACAAAAGTGGTGATTGGGCAGGCTTCATGCAGGCAGCTGGCGTCTAGGGCTGTCAGACGCAATCAGTGTTTGCATGGCACCTGCGGCCACATGCATTCAGCTGAGAGGAGCTGCTAAACAGGTGACACCTAGTACAACAGTGGTAGGAAATGTCACCACACTCTGGGGCCATGGATCCTGGGAAAGAAAACCTGTGGTCAAGATCCATTGCATCTAGGTCTGGGGCTTGGGAAGAAAAGATCTCTTTCCAATCTGTCAATAGGCAATTTTTTTTTTTTAAATTGACACAGAGGCTGAGTATGTGGAAGGGCTGGGGAGGGGTTGAGACCATCTTCTTCTTGTTCTTGGGTGCGCTTGCGGCTTCTGACTAGCATGAAAATTCATAGCGACAAGCTATGTCGCATAGAGTGAAATCGATCAGACAGACACAAGGAGAACCGAGTGTAGATTTGGGACAGCAATCCAACTTGATTTCTCAGATCAATCGTGTGCTATCTCAGCAGTGGTGACAGCAAGCTGGGACAAGAGGGCAGCCTGGAAAAGGAGGCTGTTCTTTAGATCAGGGGTGATTTCCTGGGCTTTTTGAGGCCACATGACGCTCCAGTAGAGGTATTGGTTCAGAGAATAATGGTTGGGTAGTGGGAATCATTTTTACTGTTCATTGCTGTTGTTTTAAGGTAAATTAAGGATGGAGGGGAGGGCAAGATACACATGATTTATTAATGTGATTCTTGTCTATGCTGAATGGAGGTACCATGGCCCTTTCAATTCAGCATGTATCAGATCATTTTTGGTTATGACCAGTCTGAAGGGAATCTAGAGAATACCAATTGCTTTATCAGCTCAGGAATGGTTCTTGTTGTTGTTTAAAAAAATTAAAGCATTTTTTTCCCCATAAGAGAGAAAGTGTGGGGACTTAGCTACACTTTGAACATGCTACCTTCTGAGAGAAGAATTAGGCTTCTCTCAAATGATCTAAAAGACAGAGCAGGGAAAATCTCTGAGTGGATGATTCAGAGAAATGGATTGCACTTCAACATTCATTGAATCTCTGTCTCATAGTCAGAGCTCTCAAAAAATAAAAATAAAAACTGTTGTCTGCCTTTGGAACTCAAGAATTCTCCATCATAAGAGAGCAAGCATGGTTTGACTAGTGACTTGGTAAGAGAACTGGAGAAGGAAGACAGTCATCAAACTATGATTGCATTGGTGACCTAAAAAATATTATTACTTAGCTGCACAAAGAGGTTATAAGTCAGGTTATAAGTACAATGCATCTTGTACTTTCCCATCATTGTTCTGTCCCACTATGCCCTCTCCCTAAAAACTATTGGTGACTTTTAAGACCACTTCCATTAGGAATTCTTTCTATTCTACATTCTTCAGACCTTCTAAGCTATTATCACATATATCAAGTCTCTCTCTAGAGACAGAAGATGTCAGAGCTAGTCCTGTAAAACATACTGTGGGCAGTCGTGACACTTTCTAGGAACTGGAGGGGGAGAGATTCCATCTTGTCCTTTGCTAACAATACTAATTGTTATTACTGTAAGAATGGCTGAGTTGCTGGGAAGCCTGATTAGTAAAATACCAGGTACTATGGTGGAGATGTATTTTTCCTCAACATGAATTCCCAGTGAATGAGGTAGCTTTGTCTCTATGTGTAGCATTGAATTCACACATGCATTTGTATATTCCCTGAATGGTACTGAGATACAAGATAAACTTTTCCAAAGAAAGCCTCATTCTGCATAAGTGGAAGAGAGAAACATAAGGAAAGTACAAGCATGTGGGGACATGAATAGAGGCATCCTGAAAAACACAACTGAAGAAAGCCCCTGTGATTGGGCAGGAAGTGAGTCTGACAGCTATGCTATTTGGCATCTTTCTTTCCTAACTGGGCAATGAAGAAAAGTGCAGCTCTCAGACTCTGGGGGGTCAGATTGACCCTTCTGATGTCATCTGGTGGGCTGGGAATCATTTCTGAAATAGTGTAACCAAACATGTGCAGACCATTATGTCTGATTACATAAGCCCACCGCCAGAAGTGGGCTCAAAAATGCCACTTGAAAGAGTTTCTCATTTTGCATTAATTTTTTTGCTCTTGCTGTGAAGTGCAGTTATTTTATTTCTGGGTCTTTAATAAGCAAGCTAAATGAATCAAAGACTGATCAAGATAGGATATGTTCCTTTGGTATCAGTTTTAAATTGTACACCACCTTCAGGAGACTAATCTAATTATCATGAGATATATTTTTAGTTGATCGTATTAGGTGCTGACATACATATACACACTGACTAAGGCTATGGTTGCTAAGAGAAAGGGGCGGGAGGAGGAAGAGAAAGGATAGGAGACTAGAAGAACCAAGGACAGGAATGGAAAGTCTGAGCCAAGAAATAAAAATAAACAGTCCCTAAATCCAAAGCAGCAATGGAATTCCCAGCTGGGTTCTGGATTGTGTTTCATTTGGTGGAGGACATTTTCTGGGCAGCCTTCATCCATTCCCCTGGCTGGGTTTCCACAATACCCATATCGTATCCAACTAGTGTCAATTTTAAGTCCCATAAAGTGCAGACCATTTGTCTTTAAGTGAGCACATAGGAGTAGGGTTGCAGGGAGTAGTAGTGTGAGTCCTACACGGGGATTCAGGAGATGCCTGTCCTAGAAACTCAGGTACCCATAGGCAAGCATCAATCTCTCTTTTCCCGGTAATTCTTACCCCTTAAAGGGTGCTTTAGGGAAAATGAGAAATAAAGTAGAAAGGGCTTGGCAAAGCATAATTTGTTCCACATGAGTGCAGTATGAAATGTTATAAGTGATAACTTTCTAATTTGACCTTTCTCTCCTCTTGTATAAGCAGTTTTCACAGTAGGTAGTTCCTAGTGAGGATAGGTTAGGTCACCATTGCCACTTTTTTTTTCCTCTTGTGATGCAAAAGCAGGCTTTTGAGATGGATATTGAATTTTGCAAGGCCTAAAGACCCCCTTCCTTAGCCACTGTGAGTTTTTATTATACCTCCTTAAGAACTTTATATGCTTATATGACAACAGGCAATTCTTACTGGGTTTAGCTTTGTTCTCAGCAATGCAGGGAGATTATTCCTCTTCTTGTCAATCAGGCCTACTTAAAGATTGCTTATCTATCAGTCTTGCTTGCCCCTGCCACCATCCTATTTCTAGAAATAGTTTATTAACTAGACTTTCGCAGCAGCTTTCTATCACTAGTTGCTGTCTTTAGGTTTTCCTCTCTCCAGCACACATCACTTAAATTTTCTCATTCCTTGCTCAGAAATCACCTGTGGTCCTTACTATATACCTAAACAAGCTCAAATCTTATGCCCATTGCCTGGCTCCTTTGTCCACCCACCTTCAAAGTAAACACCCAATGCCAGTCAATGTGATTTGGCCACACACACTCTCTCTCTCTCCTTATTATATTCATTTATGTATGCCATCCACACCAAGCATCTTTCTTAACCCTTCTTTCCTTTTTTCTTCTTCCTGCTCTATTTCTACCTGTCTCTGTGTCTCTGTCATTGTACCTGTCTCTATGCTATAACACACACTTTCTTTACTAAGCATACTTAATTGTCCTTGTATCTTTCACTTTTACATAGTATATGTGATCATAAATAGATTAGAGGCCTACAATATTTTTTGAATGAACACATCAATAGGAGGAGATATTGAAGAACTAAAACATTTTAATAACCACTAGAGACACCAAGTATATCAACTATGTGGTGTCTACTAGTAACTATTATTTTAAATGTTTTCCTCATTCATAAATACACTGTCTTTTTAAATCCAAAAAACCTTTAAAAAAAACAAAAAACAAAAAAAGAGGCAGAGGCAGGTGAATGGAATGTTCTAGGTCTTCCCCAGAAAAAGAAAAGGCTCATCAAAGTTTTTGACTAATGGATTTTTCTGTAAAAATAACATTCAGATCAACATTAAACATAGGAAGTTATATAGTGATACTAGAGAAAAATGACCCTTTGATTTCCTTAGGTCTTCCTATCCTAAAATAGTTCCTGTCATCTTTTTCTGAGAAACTCTCTGTAAAAGCATCCTTTTTTCTTTGAGGGGGTGGGGGAGAGGAGAGGAAGCCATTGTTTCTGGTGGACTTCTATTGGCCTCCCTCCTAGCTGTGGGACTAGAGATTCCAAGGACAAGCTGGAGGGAACTGGAAACAAATTGAAAGGAAGAAACTTGCATCCTTCTGTGGCTTTTCTTGTGGGGACTCATCTTGCCTTTCTGGGTATTGCTTCTTTTAAGAAATACTTGAGAGACCCTTCAACTGAGGATTCTCCAGGTCTACAAGAATGACCATGGCTTCTCACTGTTAGCACAAGAGACAGCAGACTAACCTTCTAGCCTACTCTACTTCCTCTCTTCAAATTGCATTCTGAAGACCTAAACAGAAGAAGCAGGAGCTCTCACTCCAAGAATGCTTCTCTTTGCTTAGAGATTTGTCATAGATAAGAGCATTACCCTCTAGGATCAGATGATTTATTTTAAGTTGTAAAATGTGAGTTAATGGCATGAATTAGCTGCATCAGTCCTAAATGTAGATAATGCTATAGATCTTATTTAAAAATTAGGGATGGAAATAGAAATAAAGCTTTGATGTTATCTCTAGGTAGGCAACGTGCCATTATAATGAGTATATTATAAAAGGTCTCATCATTTTTTGCTTTGTAATAATTATGGTAGTGCTATAATAAAGTTGAAGTCTTTATCTTCATAAACCCTAATATGCATAATTTTTTTGGTTTTCTTTTCTCTGATGGTAAGTAAAGAGGGAAAGAAAGAACATTTACTATGTAAATAA